CATGTAATCTGTGGTAATAGGTGAAAATGTGTATGTAAATCTAATGATTTTTGTAAGGTAATGAAAAAATATGAAAAACATTTCTTTCACGCTCACTAATGTTCCTTTATTTTCAGATCCCTGCTGTAGAGCTATTGGTTTACTCAGGCTTTCCCTATGAAATAGTCACCATCTGCCTGATTAGTCTGTTTCCTTGGTATCCTGCCCATTCTTGTTATTTAAGTTTCTGCTCTATTTCAAGGAATGCACTCATTAGGTATGGTTACATCTGTGATCATTTGAAAAGAAGTATACATATTCCAAAAACATTTAATAGCACCTTGGTATTTTATTAAATATAAACAGGAAAAGTCTTTTTTTGACTGCTTTTACTCTTAAATGCTAAGAAAAAATAGCATGATCTTAAGTCCCCTTCTCCCATTTGGAAATTCCATGAGTCTAAAATTTAAAAAAAAAAAAAAAGTGCTCAACACAACTCAGACATTTTCATTACATACACATTTATAAGCGCATACAGAGAAAAAGTGCCATCTGTTAAAAATAGTTAACTGAATACTAACTGGGGATTTAAAAATGTAAAACAGGTATATTAGCTTATTCTGATGACTGTTTATATCTGGCTATCTCCTAAAACTTCTGAAGTGATAAGTCAATACAAATAAACAGTATAAACACTTTTCTCCTTAAGCTCTCTTAGAATGTATGCTCCATGTGGACTAGAATTTTTATCTTTTTTTTTTCTTTTACTAATGGGTCCTAAGTAACAGGACACATAGTAAATATTTGGCTGTTTTAGGCAGAATTCTAAGATGGCCCTCCAAGATTCCCAGTCTCTGATGTGTTCTCCAACTTAAGAATTGCTGTGAAGAGATTTTACAGATGTAATTAATGTTCCAAATCATTGACCTTAAGATAGGGAGAGCATCCTGGCAGGCCTGTTCTAATCCCATGAGCCTTGAAAAACTCAGTTTTTCTCTGCCGATTTCAGAAGTCAGAGAGATGCATATGACATGTTTAGAAGAAAGGAAAGGCCATATTGTGAACAAGGTCACATGGCAGGGAATGGTGAGCAGCCTCTAGAAGCAAAGAGCAGCCCCCAGCTGACAGCGAGCAAGACATCAGAGACCTCAGTCCTACTATCCCAGAAACTGAATTCTGCCAACGACGAGGACGAGCTAGGACAGAAACCTGAGCACAGGGTGAGAAGTGCATCCCCAGCCAACACCTTGATTTCAGCCTGATGAGACCCTAAGGAGAGAATCCAGTCATATTGCATCTGGAATTCTAACCTAGAGAACAGTGAGTTTGTAAATTTATGTTGTTTTAAGTTGCTAAGTTTGTGATAATTTGTGATGCAGAAATAGAAAACTAACACCCTGTCCTATAGTAGGCATTTAATAAATATATGTGGAATGAATGAATGAATGAATGAATGAATAAAATTTTGATGTGTTACATGGTAAAGGTAAGATAATTATGAGAAGGGCAAAAGATGAAACTATACTTGTGATTTTAAAACTAAGCTCTGGATACTTTTAATAACCACACAGTTTGCATTATTTATAACATTCACATGACATTAATATGTCATCTTTAAATTAAAAGTACTAAAATGAAAATATTAAACAATACATGACAAAGGCATGTGTAATATATCTATTTCCATTAATATTTTACATTTAAATGAAAGAAGCTTAGGGTAAATTAGTCCACAAACCCCCCTCAAATTGATTTTGAATGTAGGAAGGGTATCATTTATACTTATATTTTTAGTTCATGAAACATAATTTATTTCACTTAGAATAGCTATACTATTAAATTTATGGTTGGACTTGCAATTATACTTTGGAACTTTAGCCTATCTTCCTTTTAAATATGGTGTATAAAATTGGAAAAGATTCAAATAAATAAACAATCAGTGTTCTCTGAAATCAGTACATAAAGTTTCAGAAATTCACCAATTAAAGTTTGACTAAATGGTTAGGTAAAAAATCAGCATGGATGTCATGATGTTACATAGAAAGTAAGGTTATAGGATCCAGGAGGAACAGTAAAAACAATACTGTGTAGTGCTTTTTAAATACTTTGGCTTCTGTAGTGTATAGAAGACACCTGATGGTCTTAACAGTAGTTGTGTATACACCATTGCTTTTCAAAAAGGACTTGAGGTGACTTAACGTGTAAATCATTCACAAAGTTGAATCAACATACATGAAAAAAATGATGAAAAGAAGAAGCCAAAATGTGAATTTCAATGTCTAATATATTTGTTATTTAATTGAGCATTAAATTGGACTTGGGCTATATGTGCTGCCAGTAAGAAGATTACTATTTAAAGAATATTAAACAAAAGTTATCAGTGGTCTTAAAAGTTCTCTTTGATCTGGTAACTCTCATGACTATTTGTTTCTTCAAAAAAAAAAAAAAAAGGCTGGTATGTCACCCACAGGATATATGATTATATTTGGGATGACTTTATATGTAGCTATTAGGAGAAGAAGTCAGAGAAGAAAATGTTATAAAAGCAATGAAATGGTGCAATTAGAATGTTTAATAAACACCAAGGCAGAAAGAGGAGTTGTTAAACAACATTGTGATAGAGGTATGGTTTACCTAGTCTTGCCCACTGTGAGCACCAGATTTTTAACTGAATTACTTTACTGAAACAATACCTGACCAAGTTCTTTAACTATAAATTTTATCAAGGAAAAACGTTTTGTTAAGGATTTATGAAGCCATGTGGAAAAATAGTTATATTATTTCATGAACTAGTAAGAAAGAGTGTTTGGGTGTAAAGTGAGCTATTATGCAGTTTATATCTACCATTATCCCCTAATTAACATCTGTTCTGATTGGCTGTTCTTCATGCATTACTGGTTATTAGAAATATTGACTATAAAGCCAGGCACAGTGGCTCATACCTACAGTTTCAACTACTCAGGAGGCTGAGACAGCAGGATTGCTTGAACCCAGGAGTTTGAGACCAGCCTAGGCAACATAACAAAACTCTCGACTCTAAAAGAAAAAAATTAATAAAAAAATAAATAAAAGAGACAATATCAAGTGCTGGAGAAGATGTGGAAAAACTGGAACTCATGTTTGTTTCTGAGAGTATAAATTGAAATAACACTTTAGAAAACTATTTGGCAGTATATGATACAGCTGAATATGTATATCATAAGTTGAAGCAATTTCTTAATTAAAAAAAAAGTTGAGACATGGTCTCATTCTGTCACCCTGACTGGAGTACAGTACACAAACATGGCTCACTGCAGCCTTGACCTGCTGGGATCAAGCAATTCTCCCACCTTAGCCTCCTGAGTAGCTGAGACTACAGGTGCATGCTTCCACATTTGGCTCAATTTTTTTTTTTTTTTTTTTTTTAAGAGATGGGGTCTTGCCATGTTGCCCAAGCTGGTCTCAAACTCTTGGGTTCAAGCAATTCCCCTGCCTTGACTTCTCAAAGTGCTGGGATTACAAATGTGAGCCACTGCACCCAGACCAATAAATTTTAACCCTAACTATATAACCAGCAAAAATGTATATATCGATATGTTCAACAAAGGACATGAGTAAGAATGTTTATAGCCGCACTATTTGTAATAGCCAGAAACTGGAAACAAGCCAAATGTCTATCTACAGCAGAACAGATTATTGTTTATTATACAATAAACTACAATATAGCAATAAAAATTAATGAACTACAACAACAGAAATGAATTTCACAAACATCCTACTGAGATAAAGAATATAGATACAAAAGAGAATATTTGGTATAAGTTCAAAAATAAGCAAAGCTAATCTCTGGTGTTGGAAGTCAGGTTACTGATTACCATTGGGGTATGCAAGGTAAGAACTGGAAAGAAGTTTCTGAGATTCTGATGTTGTTTTATTTATTGACCTGGTGCCGATTTCTTGGTAGTACTTCTTTTATGAAAATCAGTCAAGCAGTATATTATGACTTGTATACTTCTGTGGATATATTATATCAACAAAATTGTGATCAAAAGTAAAATTAAAGCACTACCCATCCCAATACCAAAAAAATAACACTTAATTAATTTGTCATTATCTAAAATGTTAACTAAAAATTAACATTTAAAAGGTTGTTAAACCTACTGCTAAAACTTCAGGAAAAAATAAGGTAGTAAATACCCATTTGAAATGCATGCAAATTATAACCTATAGATCCTTCTGTCTCACACATACACACATGCAAACACAAACCCATGGTTTCATACCTTTATGTGTAGAACCAAAGATGATTAATCACAATTAATATTTTAACATCAATTTGCATTTTCAACATGTAACCAAAAGCATTCTCAACTGAATTATATGTTTAACAAAGATTGAGGAAAAGGTTATGGTCTGTTGGTGACACTTAATCTTCTAATAAGGGATTCTAAAACATTAAAATGATAACCCAAATGCAATTTATCAACTATTCCATACCAGAGGCCATTAAACCTAAGACTTAGATAACTAAGGACAAAGAAATATATAAATTGAGGGCATCGGTGTCTAAAAATTCAAAAGTAGGATATGATACAAACATTTAATATATAAGATAAAGATTATAGATTATAATAATGTTATAGGTACTGTGCTAATTTTCTTTTGTTGCATAACAAATTGTCACAAACTTAACAAATTGAAGGGCTTCCTCAATTTGCTTTTCCCTCCTTTCCACTACTTCTTTTTACAAATTATCCTCTTTAGTGCAGCTTTTCTTTTATTATTGTTATTAGATTATATTCCTTTCTTTCTTTTTTTAAATTTAAAGTTCCAGGATATATGTGCAATGCTGGTTTGTTACATAGGTAAATGTGTGCCATGGTAGTTGGCTGCACCTATCAACCCATCACGTAGGTATTAAGCCCCATATGCATTAGTTATTTATCTTAATGCTTTCCTGCTCACCCCCACCCCTATCCCCAAGCTGCCGTCCCCCTCCACCATAGGCCCCAGTGTGTATTCTTCACCTTTTCAATACTTACTTTTACTGCTTTTGTTATGGGAGCTTTGGGGTGTCACTTTTCTTGTCGGAAAGCTCTGTGGTTGGTGGCACCTTTGCCTGAGTTCTCGTCCTGCCTCCAGGAAGAATGGGGTTCGCAGACAGTGCGGGGTGAGCAAAGCCAAGAGGAGCTTTACTCAGTGTTAGAATAGCTCAGAGGAGGCCCTGGAGAAGGTAGCTTCTCTGCAGCGGGTGGTCTTGTCCTCTGTAACAGCAAAGAAGGTAGGTTCTCTATCTCCTTTTTTTTTTTTTTTTTTTTTTTTTTTTGAGACTGAGTCTCCTATACTGCAGTAGCCTAATCTCAGCTCATAGCAACCTCCACTTCCTGGGTTCAAGTGATTCTCATGCCTCAGCCTCCTGAGTAGCTCAAATTACAGCTGCCTGCCAGGACGCCTGGCTAATTTTTGTATTTTTAGTAGAGGCAGGGTTCCACCATGTTGGCCAGGCTAGTCTCCAACTCCTGACAAGGGTCATCTGGTCCTAAGCTCTGCTTGGGTTGAGCCCAGGGCTTTTATAGGCCTCAGAAGGGGGAAGTGCATGCTGATTGGTCCATGGGCAGGCCCAGGGCAAAGCACTATGAATCCCCCTCCCATCTGCAGGACTGGCCGACCTGCCCCCAGGCTTCAGGCCTCCCCTGACCTGAAGGTCGGGTTTCACTGGTGACCCACCCACTTCCTCCCAGGAGCGGCCTCCGCCTGGCATCCATGGCTGATACCAAGGAGCACCTGCAGTGACCGGCCTCTTTAGCACCCCCTTAGCTTCCGCTCCGGCGCTTCTCCACGCCCAAAGTCTGGAGAGGGCGGAGGCAGCAAGGGGCTGAAGTGTGACCACTGCCCCGTTCGCACACCTGGAGGAACTGTGACAGCACCCTAGCTCAGCCCCAACCCTGCTGGGAGATCTCATTGGCACTGGGAGCCAGGAGAGGCCAGGCAGCTGGAGTAGGCACCTCTGAGCCTGCAAGGGCAAGGGGGAACTTTCTAGACCTCTCAAGAGTGCAGGGATACCTCGGTCATCAACCCCGCCCAAGAAGGCGGAGCTCCTGCCTCCTGTCGGCTCCCAAGAGCACCGGGGCCCTTGTTGCAGCGGGCGTGAGTTGTACCTGGGGAGCTCTCGCCTGGCCAACTTGGAAGGAGCAGGGCTCCCAGTTGTCCCCAGCTCCCACTGGCACAGTGGGCACCCAGCTGTACCACCTCGCTGCCTGGGGCGAGGGCTCCAGGCCCTCCCTTGGCCTACGCCGGCATCTGGTGCAGGGGCGAGGTTGCTGCGAGCTCCTCCTGTGGCCCAGCGCTCAGGGACGCACTGGAGCGCCACCGGTGAGTACTGAGGCTCTGTGTAACCAGGCTTGGCCTTATCACAGTGGGCCTCCAAGGTGGCGGGCTGCAGGGTGGGAGGCGTGGGCTGTCCACTTCTCCTTTTGTGGTGCCCGGCGTGATGGCAGCAGGCACATCTGACAGCCAGTAGCAGCCATCATTTCCATGCCTGTGCCTTTTTTTTTTTTTTTTTTTTTTTTTTTGAGACGGAGTCTCGCACTGTCACCCAGGCTGGAGTACAGTGGCGCGATCTCGACTCACTGCAACCTCCGCCTCCTGGGTTCAAGCGATTCTCCTGCCTCAGCCTCAGGAGTAGCTGGGACTACAGGCGCGTGCTAATTTTTTGTATTTTTAGTAGAGACCCACCGTGCTCGGCCTTTTTTTTTTGGAGCTGGATTCTTGCTGTGTCGCCCAGGCTGGAATGCAGTGGCTTGATCTCCCCTCACTACGATCTCTGCCTCCTGGGTTCAAACCATTCTCCTGCCTCAGCCTCCCCAGTAGCTGGGACTACAGGCAGGCGCCACCACGCCCAGCTAATTTTTTTTGTATTTTTAGTAGAGACAGGGTTTCACCATGTTGGCGAGGCTGATCTTGAACTCCTGACCTCGTGATCTGCCCACCTAGCTTCCCAAAGTGCTGGGATTACAGGTGTGAGCCACCATGCCTGGCTCTGTGCCTATCTTTTTTATGCCCCTTCTGGCTACCTTTGTCCCCATCACCTAATTACTAATCAGCTATGGAGGCTCAGTATCATCTCACATCGGCTGTGAAGTCTTTCCTATTTCACCCCAAGATGCGTTCCCACTTCTGACCTTTCACAGTACTTATTATTGGTAACCTTTATTTGTTTATTTTTTTTAAAGCGCATATTATCTGATAATATAGGCAGCTGATTTTTTGCAAGTATGTATATGTTGAATAATATCTTGACCAGATCCGCAGCTTTTTTAGGAGCAAAAACGGTTTCTTTTATTTCTTAGTATCTACAACCCTGACTTTAACATACATGAATGAACTTTCCTTCTTTCAGAATCATTTTCCTAATAACGAATCCCTATAGACAAGTCATTTTATATACAAATTTTCTTTTCTTAAACCATTTTATATACAAATTTTCTTTTGAAGAGTGAAAAGTAACTCATGTAAAAAAAAATTACATTTGCAATTACTTAATACCCCAAATAGCAAGTTCTCAAAAAAGATGTCTTGATAAAAGTTTTACAGAAAGTCTACAAAAATAGCAAGACCTCCATCCAGTGTATTTTTGTTTTCTCCAGAGTGCATTCTCTCCTGTTTCGTATCTCCAAGGCACTATACCTTTGACAATGCAGTTACCCTGTGATAAGTATCCATACTGAGCATTAACTTTGGGCCCAAGCTCACTATTTTGTGAATATTATCTCAACCTTATCCTCATCCTACAGTAGCTGCTTTTACTCCTACTTCACTTAGAGAAACACAGACTTCCATTACAGCCATGTGCAATCTATATCTGAAAAACTTCTAATGAAACAACAAAAATAATGCTGGATAAAATATAACAAACTTTCTTTAAATTCATAGCTGAGCTTGCAAGAGATTAAGGAAATCCCCAGAGGTCAAACATGAAGACAAAACTAAAAACTAGACTTTAAAATGTGAATTGATGCTGGAGTTGTCTTAGGGCAGGGCAGAGGAGGTGTTTTCATTCACTGTAGGCATAGATACACAGGGAGGTGAGGCTTAGATGAGACAAGGTAGAGGCTTAGAACTGAGGCCCTTTACAAAAAGATGGGCTCACTGGAAGCCAGTGAAAGTGTGAAGTAAGGAAAAAAAAAACAAGTGACACCAGGGGACAGGAAAGTTTGTCATCTCACTACATTCTGGGTCTCTCCTCTTAGAATTTACCTCAGAGCTGCATTCAGATTTGCGATTTGAATTTACACTCTTTATGGGGCCTGAAGACCTTTCAGCCAAAAAATCCCAGTCTCAGTGCCAAGTTTCTGCCTCTTATTCTTAGGCTTACTCTCCTTTCCCTGTGTCCATGAATATGAAAGCTAATACTCACAGGGATCCTTGCAGAAGCAAATACCAAATCACTAAGAAGTGACCCTCTTTTGCCCTGGTAATATTTTTGGCTTTGAAATTCATTTTTCATCCTTATTTTGATTGGTATTGGCAGGGTATATCTTTTCCTATCCTTTTCTTTTTTAGCTATGCCTTATTTATAGTAGGTATTTTGTAGATAGACTATAGTTGGATTTTGCTTTTTTGTCCAATCTGTTAATGTGTTTGTTGTTATTAGGGCGTTCACTTCAAGGGAACCTTCTACAGATCTCTTGAATTCCCTTTTTATAGCTTTCTCCTTCTTAATACCCTGATCCATAAACTCTAGTCTCCTTGGCCTTTCCATGTTTCCAGTTCCATCTCCTTATCTCAGAAAACCTTGCAGTCTCTTTCTGTGGACCCTTTCCTTGGAAATCCTCATTTGTTTCTCATCTCTCCTTGAAGCTCTCTTCATGTTCTTATCTCAGGAATCATTGTCTTTTTTGCTCAATGTTGGGTGTCTTTAAAAACAATTGTTTCATATATTCTGTCCAAGGCCAGGTGTGGTGGCTCATGCCGGTAATCCCAGAATTTTGGGAGGCTGAGGTGAGCGGATCACCTGAGAGGTTGTGAGTTAAAGACCACCCTGACCAACATGGAGAAACCCCATCTCTACTAAAAAAACAAAATTAGGTGGGCATGGTGGTACATGCCTGTAATCCCAACTACTCGGGGAGGCTGAGGCAGGAGAATTGCTTGAACCCGGGAGACGGAGGTTGCAGTGAGCCAAGATCAAGCCACTGTACTCCAGCCTGGGCAACAGGAGTGAAACTCTGTCTAAAAAAAAACCAAAAACAAAAACATATATTCTGTCCAGATTTTTTGTTGTTTCAGGCAGGAGGGTAAATATAGTCCCTGTTATTCCATCTTACCTAGATGTGGAAGTATAAACTATTCTAGAAGGACACACGATGCAAGATTCAAACAGGTAACACTGGGGTTAAAATGTACTCACAATCCAAAATTACAAAACACATGAAATAGTCCATTGTGAGGTAAAGTCAGTAGATACAACAAACAACATATTTGGACCCACCAAAAAACGTTAGAAAATAGAATTATTAGATACTGACTACAGAGTATGTTTCAGATGATTCAAGATATGAAATAACAAATGGAAAAAAAAAGAGCATGATATTTTTAAATGATACCAGGCAATTTTGGAAAAATACCAAATAGAATTTCTAGAATTAAAATAAAAAAAGTTATTGAAATTACATATGTAGAAATAACAGTTCATTAAGTTTTATTTGCCTAAAATCACCCAACTGTGCATGCTAGATCTGAAATACAAGTTGTTCTAGGTAAAAACAATGCCTGTGATTTTTTTGTTATACTTTGTCTTGAATTTAATGAAAAAAATAGTGAGCAATGAGGGCATTTACTATAGAATGTCTCCGGCCAATTATGCAATTCAACCTTAACATTTGAGTCAGTAATAAAAAATTAATATAACATCTCTATAGTGGTGACCTTAAGGAACAGCATTAACACACATACTTTTGGTTAATTTATGTAAAGCTTATTTTATAGAACTAAAGCTTGAATAAAACTGTGCTGACTTTATTTTAACCTTAGATCAGTGTCAATTTAGAAACACATCCAAAATAAATATAAATATGACTGTAAAACCTAATCATATATATTCAAATGACCCTTCAGAACTTTGAAAAAATCATCTTTATAATCTTCCTTTTACCAGAGTTTCTTTCTCTCTCTGCCTACCAAAATAAAACAACAATAAAAAGATACAACTTTTACTCTCCACCTTCAGCCTGTTTTTTCCTCTATTTCTTTGGTTGCTATCTTTTTATTATGTAAAGCAAGTCAGTCTTATTCAGTTCCTTTCATTTACATCTTTGCAAAGTACTTGGAAACAACTTTTGATTTTTTTTATTTTGTTAGGAGAATTGGATAAGAATAAACATGATTTAACTTTTGGCTTGAATTACCAACAAGAGAG